ACAGACAGAGAGAGACATAGAGACAGAAAGCGAGAAATCACCCCCCCAGGGGAGATGGTCACGCCGCAATCCCTTCTCCTCCATTCTCCTCTCGGGATCTTGGGCACGCACGCACACGCGCCCAGCGTGAGTTTTAAGCCACCGGGTCCAGGACGTGAACCGCAGTCAACTACGTGGGAGTCCAGTGACATAGCCATTACGCTAACTGCTGGTTCCCAACTAGTTTTTGAATTTATTGTTTTTCTCCACTTAAAGACTTCTAATTTATTGTTAGCCACTCTTGTCTTCACCCTTACTTCGGGTCCACTTTTCCACCTGGTTGGTTTTAGATTTATTTGGTCAGCACAGTTCTAAGCAGTTTGCTTATGATAGGACTTGTGTTTACCCTGCTTAGGGTTCATTGATTCCTTCAAACTTGGAAATTTTCAGGCATCATTAATTCTAATATTTTTTCTGACCCATCCTGTTCTCCAGTTGGTCCACAGCACTGGACACAGAGGCTCTGTTCGTTTTATTTAATACTTCTTTTTTTTTTTTTTTTGGAGAGGTTTTTGCTATAGAGCGTGTGCACTTGCCAGAAAGAGAGAGAGAGAGACAGAAAGCGAGAAATCCCCCCCCAGGGAGATAGTCACGCTGCAATCCCTTCTTCTCCATTCTTCTCTTGGGATCTTGGGCACACATGCACACGCATCCAGCATGAGTTTAAGCCACCAGGTCCAGGACTTGAACCACAGTTGACTACCTGGGAGGCCAGCAACATGGCCATTACACCAACTGCTGGTCTCCGTTTTGTTTAATACTTCTTTGTTCCTTTTCTGGCTCACTTTGCATGATATCCAAGTCTTCCATCAATGAATCCCACCTCCATGGTTCCTGCTGTTTCTATCAACTGATGCCCACCCTCATCACGGACTGCATTTTCCTATGTTTTGGAATATCTACTTCCCTCCTGCATTCTAAGCGGTGTGATGATTACATTGTTGAGTCTGGATTTCTTTATTCTCCATTAAGAGTCTTCAGGGGGCTTAGACTGTGGCCATGCCAAATGCTTGATTCGAGTTCCAGACCCAGCAACGTGAAAACATGCTGGGCGTGTGTGTGCATGCCCAAAACCACAAAAGGAGGGGGAGATGTGGGAGGAGGATTCGGTGTGACCATTCCCCGTGCAGGGAGGCTTTCTCCCTGGCCCTCTCTCTCAGTCTCTCTGTGGCAAGCACACACTCCCACAGGCAAAAGTTTAAAAAAGTCTTCAGGAGGGACCAGTGGATGGCTTGATGGTTAAGGTGCTGGACACTCCCACATGGCTGACCACGGTTCGAGTTCCAGACCTGGTGGCTTGTGTCCTCACTTTCTCTCTCTCTCTCTCTCTGTCTCTCACTGGTCAGATTTAAATAAATGAGTGAATTTTTAAATTTTTTAATTAATTAAAAAAAATAGTATTTAGAATACTTTCCTGGCAGTTAAGTTGCAAAGACCACCTTAATCCTTCTGGGGTATGTCCCCAGGATTTGTTCGGTTAGGTCCATGCCACGCAGGACAATGTCAGCACTGTTCCTGAGGTACAGCCTTCCTGAGGCCAGAACAAGAACGCTGGTTGTTCGCTGAGGTTCCCCAATGCTGGCTAGTGAGAAGCCAGGCACCTCAGGGAAGTGGCCGGCTTCTGGCCCAACCGTAGCTATGTCCTTAGCCTCATGGGCTGTCGACCTCCACATGGTTTGGTTTTCTTAACTGAGGAGCCCGAGGGACCTGGAGCTGTATCTCTGGAACTCTCCCTTGAGTCCTCTTTCCCATAAATTCAAGGTGACTCAGCCTCCCTGACCTCTGACCTCTGGCCACAACTCAGGGGTGATTCTGTGCTCTGCTTGGGTCCCCTCTCCCAGTGGCAGGAACTGGATAGAGCCTCCAGCATGAGATCCAGGCGGAGCCTCCGTGTGAGAGCCAGGGTAGCCAGAGGCTAATCTGGTTTGCTTGTCTCTGCCATAACTCTCAGTCCAGAGATGCCTGCTTCCAATTATCTCAATATTTGTTTCATGGCTGTCCCCATAGCACAGTGGTTAAATGCTGTGCATTGGGAGCTAGATCCCAGATTGCTGTCCATGGTTCAAATCCCAGCCCTGACAGCTTGCAAACGTGTCAGGCATGCGCCCATGTGTGCCCAAAATCCTGACAGAAATGGAAAAGAAAAGACTGTGGCATGGTCATCCCCCTGGACAGGGCTCTCTCTCCCTCTGGCAAGCACATGGGCCCTCTGGCAAAGTAAATAAATATTTGCTTCACATGTATTTTCCAATTTCTCTAGCTTACAGTAAAAAGTCAAGTCTGGTACTAATTACTCAGTCATGACAGCATGCACAAGTCTTACCCATTTACTGGAATTCAGGGACTGCTCAACATCGGAGACAGAGAAAGAAACAGACCAGTGAAGACCAAGAAATGACATCCCCATGAGAGCTCGTGCCCGGATAGGTGCAAGGCCTTACCAAGCCTTTGGCAAAGGGGATTTTTACCACCCTTAAAAAATGGAAGACTATATTCCTTAGGAATACTGTTCTGAATGTTTTTCATGTGTTTATATATTCATATTGATACTCTCAGTATATTAGATGCTTGGACTCCTTATACAATATTATGAATACATTCCTTTAAATATATTTTAAAGAATGCCTTATGGGATGCTGAGAACATGTTGGCAGTATTTGCCTACTTTTAGTTGCGCACTATTCCCTTTAAAAACAGTCAGTAAAAAATGAAAAATCCACAGACAGTAATCTACCGCGAAAACAGATGGCCGACTCTGTGAGGCAGAGGGGAACGAGCCGCCAGGGTCATAACATCTGTGTGTTTTCAGAATCGTGGAGAGAGAGCAGGAGGCAGGAGAGCATCTGACAGCCTGAGGTCCCCCAGTGACCAAGAGCTGCTCGGCGGGGAGCTGGCGGCCAGGGCCCACAGCAGCAGGGGCCCGCACAGACCTGGCTGCATCCTGAGTGGAGAGTGCCATCCAGGGCAGCTCAGCCCCACCACCCCTCCAGCCAAGCCCCAGAACAAAGCCCCGCTGTGAGGAGCTTCCAGGCACAGGAAGGCGAACGCTCGATCTCTCTCTCAGGTGTGCGGTCCAAGGAGCTGCCCTGGGCACGGGGTACGAGGTGGCACCAGAGGCCGGGGCCAGGCACAGGGACACAGCCAGCCTAGAGCCACAGAGAGATGGGAGCAGGCTCAGAGGGCGGCTTCATACTGCATTGTGTCCTCTGAAGGAAACAGTGGGACATGTAAACCTGGTGGTTTTCTCATTTTCTGATCTGTACCGATCGATTGCTAAAAAGGAAGAATGTAGGATTTCGAGGCACCAGCATTGCCGTTTTCCTCGGCACAGGGATAAAGTCGGGCTCTTTCGGGTGAGGTGAGAACAATGTCCTTTGTGAAACCGAGCCCTCACGCACACGTCACTTAAGTGCCTTCCTAAAGGCTTCCCCTCCCCCTGGAGGACACAGGCCCTGCAGCTCTGAGCAGAGGCGCCCTGACAAAGCTGGTGGGAGGCCGTGGACCAGCCACTGGTGAGCCACGGGATTATGTGGACACACCTGAGAGCGACGCTGCTCACAGCCTCCCAACACCAGCAGGTGCTCAGGCCAGGAGGTAGGGGCGGAACACGTAGCAACAAGATCCTGTTCTGAAAAGGACCTTGATTCCTGGTAACAACAGAGTGAACTTCCTCTCTTCTCACTGAAGTGACTAAACGTGCGGCCGGCAGAAGGTGTGGACGTGAAGGCCCTGGGCTCCCACACGGCTCACTGCACAGCTCGCATCCCAGAGCCAATGCACAGGTGCCAAAACCTTGAGAGGAGACTGGAGGAGGGACTGCACGTGGCCGTCCCTCCCGCGATGGGGCGATTTCTCGCTTTCTCTCTCTGTTTCTCTTTGGCAAGCACACACGCTCTATCACAAAACTAAAAACAACAGAAATAAAAGCAAAACATTTAAATAGCATATGACATAGTTACAGGGTGACATTCAAAAAAACTTGTAATGGAAAAAAAAATGTATTGCTAAAAAGAACGGTTGCGTCTTAGCATCAAACAGCACACGCCGGCACAGGCAGCCTGTGAGCCCACCGGGGAGGCTCTGCAGACAAGGGTCTCCCGCCCTGCGAACCACGAGCGGTCAGGCAACTCCTGGGGCTCGCCAGCCCCTTAAACCTCCTGGCCCTATGAGAACCAGGTCCACTCCTCACCCGTCTGCAGGCCGGCCGTATGGCAACCTGTCCGCACAGGAGGGCAGCCCTGCCTGCCCTGCGTGATGAGCCAAGTGTCCACGGAAAGGGTGGCAGTTCCAGGGAGAGGCCTCTCGGCAACCTATAGCCCTTTTTAACCTCGGTCCCAATACACCAGATGGGCCCCCCGGGTCCCTCTCAAGACCTTACCCCTAACACAGCAGCATGTGCATGCCACAGCCTCGCACTCTTCTCATTCGTTCAAGACCAACTTAAAAAGATTTTTTATCTCCTACACTCTTAAAAAACTGTAATATCCAACAACTATTAATTGAAAAGTTACACTGAATGACTGGGAATAGAATCGGATTTAATGTGGTCAGTTACACTTTTAAAGTGAGTCTGCAAGGGCAGTCAGGAGCAGTAACACGACACACAGGAAAACAAGGCGTGTGGGTCCGAGACGTGGCTCCCACCGAGTCGTGGCGCCCGGTCGGCTGTGCAGTCCCGGTCTACACCACCTGTTGGCTGAGGAGGCTACATTCAAAGACTTACAAGGCCCATTCGAGATAAAACGATCTGTGACTCTGGAAATGTGGGTAAGCAGAGAACCACAGGAGAAGTGAGGGAAGCATGAGCAGGGACAGACATGCATGGAACACCCAAACAAGGTTCAAAATTCTCTCTCTGCACAGGCCAGAAAACAGGCCAAAACTACAGCTTGGATCCCTCACTGAAAACACACACACTAATTTTAAAGTGTCTATCTTCTTCCTCAAATACTGCTCCTTTATTAAGAAAATATTTTTCTACCTAAAGTTTTCCTCAGAGCAGCTTTGATGTCCCTGTTCCTCAGGCTGTAGATGACTGGGTTGAGCATGGGCACCACGATGGTGTGGAACAGGGAGGACACCGTCCCCTGGTCCATCGGTAACAGAGAAGAGGGTCTGAGATACACGAACGCCCCCGACCCAAAGAACAGAGCCACCGCAGCGAGGTGGGAGCTACAGGTGCTGAACGCCTTGGCCCTGCCCTCGGCGCAGCGCATGCGGAGGATGGCGGAGAGGATGAGGGCGTAGGAGATGAAGATGGTGACGGTGGGCACGCCAATGTCGAGGCCCACCACGACAAAGACCACCAGCTCGTTCACGTGGGTGCTGGAGCAGGAGATCTCCAGGAGGGGGAGGATGTCACACATGTAGTGGTTCACGAGGCTGGGCCCACAGAAGCTCACTCTCAGCATGCATGCCACATGGGCCACGGCCCCTGCACACCCCATCCCGTAGACGCCCGCCAGGAGGAGCAGGCACACCCGGGGAGACATGGCGGCCGAGTACAGCAGAGGGCTGCAGATGGCGACGTAGCGGTCGTACGCCATGGCCGACAGGACGAAGGACTCCGAGACCACAAAGAAGCAGAAGAAGAAGAGCTGGGTCATACAGCCGGCATGGGAGATGGCGTTCCTCCCTGAGACAAAGCCCATCAGCATCTTGGGGGTGACGGTGGTGCAGTAGCAGGAATCTATGAAGGAGAGGTTGAAGAGGAAGAAGTACATGGGGGTGTGCAGGGGGGCGCTCAGCCCGATCAGGGTTATCAGGCCCAGGTTCCCCACCATGGTGACCACGTAGAACCCCAGGAACAGGCAGAAGAGGGGGGCCCGGAGTCCCGGCTGGGCTGTCAGGCCTGCGAGGAGGAACTCCGTCACGGAGGAGGAGTTCTCGGCCAACATTCTCCTCTGGTAGGGGCTGGGAAAGGTGGAGAGGGACAAAGAAGAGGAGCAGTTAGAGAGAGAGACATTGCCGCAACCATTCAGTGCCCGTTCTCCATTCTTCAGAAAGGAATCCAAAGAGAGAAACTGGAATTTTTGTAGAAAGGTCAACCATTGGCCATAGACCTGCCTTCAGAGCCCAAGGACTTCAACTTCAAGGACAGTCTGCTAAGCCTGCCTCCGGACAAGAGCTCAGCTACTAAGTGTGGAGTGCAGCCCAGGGCCGGGCATCCTTCCGCCTCTGGTCAGGCCTTTCTCTGTGCCCTCTCTCGCCTCAGCTTCAGCTACTGAATCGGCCTTTGCCCGTGCACCAGGCCCAGACCAGCAGAAGCCGCTGTGGCTCTGGAAGTCACTGCGTTCACCCTGGGCCAGCCCCAGCAGACAGGACGGTGAGGGTGCGGTTTCCGAGATCTTAGCTCAAGGGGCTGTGGGCTGCTTAGTCATTCTCTACAGGTCGCACTGCCTGAGGCTCGGTGCAGAGAGCTCTGTGAGGACATTGTTACCTTTTACAGGTGAAACAGCTAGACGGCACACCAGCCAAGCCCCCAACCTCTGGCTTGCAGTCACTCCAAAGTGTGGCCCCAGGTCATGTGACCAGCCAGCTCGGACACTCACCTTCCTGCCCGCAGAGCCACAACACTGTGCTTGGTGGCCCCCTGTCTAGTGTCCGGCCAGGAAACCTTTGTCCGTAGGAGACAGGTTGGGCTCAGTCAGCACTAGAGGGCCGGATTCCGATCCAGCCTGTTGCCCTTTCTACACTGGAGAACACGACTCCTTGAGAGAAGGAAGAAGACAGCACCTTGTCTTAACCAGGAGACAACAGGAGAGTAGAATTTTATTCTAGATTGCAGGCCTCAGGGACACAATTATTAAAATGGAGACTCCCTTGAGACCATTTCCTCAGAGATTACTTTCCCTAAAGAAGAAATGTTTGTTTACCTGTCGGAATTGTTTGATTTGGCTCTTAGAGACCACCCTTTCCTTCAACCAACTATTGGCTAGCACATTAAGAGAAAATCAGCGTGGGAAGACCATGGCTATCCTCGGCTTCTCTCCAACATGCAGTGGCAGATCTGACATGGTGCCCTTACACTGACTCCCAGATGCCACGTCCTCGTGCACCCTCGCATGACGACTCCCATGTTAGAGGCCACCTGCTTCAGAGCCTGGACTCATGCCAAGGGCTGCCGACTCCAAGCCTCCTTTCTCACCACCAGTGGAAGGGCCTCCTGGTGGGAGCTATTGAAGCCGACCAGCAGGCCCTCACCTTCTCAAGCCTGCAGGCTCTTGGTAAGTAACAAATGGCACTTAATAAATTCAGTAAGAAGAGTGATTAGAGCAGGAAAGGTTAGCACAGAGGGCTACTGTAGTCTAGAAAAGAGTGTTCAATCATTTATTCATATTCTAATTAGTTCTAGGATTTAATTATACTACCCCTAGCTCAGAAAATAAAAGGAGACTTCTGATTCCCTCTTGTCTTCTCAAGGAGCATGGGTTTAATGGTAACAAAAAATCCCTATCTGGTAACTGCTCTTAACCTCTGCCAATATCAGCCATTTCAAACTGGTGTTTCATTTTTCTTAGTGCCTCAGTCTGTAACAGACCCAAACGGTTTGTGACCAAGTCCAAACAAAATTATAAGTAGCACCTTTTGATTTCAAGCCCAGGGAATAAGGATTAGGGTGACACAAACGAGAACCAGAGTGAGGAGGAAGTTTTTTGTTTTTTTTTTTGTTTTTTTTTTTTGTTTTTTTTTTTGTTTTTTTTTTGG